CGGCGGGGGAGCCCGAGAGCGCCGGACAGATGCTGCTGGGTCCCGACGGGAGGCTGCTGCGCCACCCGGCCCGCGAGCGCGGTGAGTGACGCGGACCCGGAGCCGGGCCCGCGCTCCTGCAAGAGGCGGGACCGGGCATCCCGCCTTCCCCGTGGGCGTGGGGCTGCCTAAATAACATCGCGGAGAAAGAAGTGGGACGGGAGCTGAGGCAGGGACGCCCCTGCCAGAGACGTGGGTTTTCCGGAAACCCTTAAATTGGGAAATTTTCCTAAGTAGAGCGTGATCTGATTTAGCCCGTTTATTTGCCTTGCGTTTAATAAACAAAGCTAAAAAAGGACACTGCCCCCCCTTCACGTTAATGTTATGTCCCAATAGCCACAAGTATTTGAACTGAGAGATTTGATTAGGGGGAAAAAATTAAATACAGGAGACAGAGAGAGACAGAGAGAGAGACAGAGAGAGAGAGAGTGTGTGTGTGGTATGTTATATATATTCAAACAGGTGTTAATGCTATACTCAAAGCTTTATGTGGAAAGAAGTTATTACTTTATTGGAATACTTATAAAGCCAGTACACAACAGCATGTACATCCCTTGCATTGTTTTTTTTCCCCTTTAATTTAAACAAAGGCACCGAAAACTGCTGACACACTTACGTCAGTGCTTTGTGATGGTTTCAAGCTTGTTTTCAGAATCCATGATTTTATGAGAGGAAAAATGCAGCTGCATCAGGTTGAGACGAGCTACTCATATATGATGTGTAAGTGCCGGACTGAAACGTTCAGGGCAGGTGTATAGTTTTTATGTCTTTAAAACTCCCTGATATACAGAAACTATAGTTATGTTGGTACACTGCTTCTGATACTGCTTCTGACACTAGTTTTAGCACACCCACAGAACTGTGCGTGATGTGCCGTGCTTTGGTTTTGATTTAACCTGCGCAGCCAATTAGGTGAATTCATAACTTTGATTTTTGGTTTGGATGATTCTGAGTGTATTTACTCTCCCGTTTACAAATTGGTAAAACATGTATGTACTCTCTCCCACGCTTCCTAGGGATAATCACCTGAAAAACGATTACAACTTTGAAACTTCTAAGCTTACCTAATATTGTATTGGCATCCTTTCATTGTTACTAATGAATTTTATGAAACGATGAATTTTTAGAAATGGCAAATTTCCCATGGAAAAATTAAAGCACCGGAAAATTTTCCGCCCCCCATTTCTGTCCCCAGCCAAACCACCCTCTACCAATCCATCATCAAATCTTCATAAACCTTCTGTCAGCCCTGATGCGACACAGATTGAACAGCTTGGCCTGCACAGGTAAAGCAGGGGAACTGCAGCAGCCAATGTCCTGCTTCTGTGAAATGTTATCAGTAGACGCTCAAGAGGTCCCAGGAAGGGCCATGTCCCTGCTGCAAAGGAAGGCAAAATTCCCCCTGAGAGCCCTTCCTGTCCTGCCCCTGGGGCGGTGTCTGTGCAGGGCTTCACTGGCCAGCACCAAGCTGAAGCTGTCAGAGAGGCCACACCATTCTTATTTTTAGCTGAAACTTGATGGGTTTGAGGTCAAGTTTTGCCCTGTCAGAATTAGCAATTAGGATGGGGGCCAGGGCTGCCGCGGACTGCTGTGTGGGGGCGCTGGGGGCCAGGGCTGCTGCCGTCCTCCGCTTCACGGTTGTAGGGTCCCCTGTTGCTCTGCACTGTGTGGGTGCCCCAGGCTGCAAGCTACCCCACACTGCATCATGTCACCCTGGGCATGAAGCAGAAGCCAGAAGAGAGGAAAGCCTGGAGATGCTGCTGCTGCTGCTGCAGCGGAGCATCAGAGGGCAGAGCAACCAGGTGAGACCCTGGAGACTGCAAATTAATAACTTCTTATGGGTTGTATGCTGCCCCCAGGCTGCCAGTTGATCAGCCCTGAGTTAGGGTTAGCTGGTGAAATTGGGATACCAAACAGATAAGTAGACTCTGGGTCTACTTTGGTCTATTGGGTCTACTGGGTCTATTTGGCTGCCACAAAATAGTTTGTCTTTCTTCATTTAAGCGTAAAAACATGGGATGCATCTAGTGCCTGGAATGGTAGATGTTAGCTATCGCATATTCAGTTTTGTGCTCACTTCACTATAATAATATTGACTACAGGTAAATAGGTTCCTATGGATCTTGGAGGGCTCTAGATATTGTTTGTTCGAATTTTCTGTTCTGGCATAAATAATAATAATAAAGGTTTTTTTTTCTTTTTTTTTTTCTCCCAAATAGCCCCACCCATGGGAGTTTCCAAAGCCTGCTCCTCGTGTGTACGGACCGTAGACATCAAAGAAGTTTGCACGCAGTGTGATCACTTGATATGTCAGCATTGCAGCAAACTCTGCAGTTGCTGTAACGCTGTCATTTGTTCTATGTGTTGCACAATCAAGTAAGTGTTTTGTGATGGTTTCAAGCTTGTTTTTAGAATCATAATTTTATAAGGGGGAAAAAATGCAGCTGCAGCAGATTGAGACAGTCTACTCGTATGTGATGTGTAAGTGCCTGACTGATGTGTTCAGGGCAGGTGTATAGTTTTTATGTCTTTAAAACTCCCTGAAACATAGAAACTACAGTTACGTTGGTACACTGCTTCTGATACTCATCCTAATGTGACTGTAACTCCAATTCATCATTTCCATGGCCTGGGAGGTGAGATGCATGTCTTGTATCTCTTCCCAGTAGAGCTGTATTGTGCTGGTAGCTTTAAGTTCTATGACCATTCCTCAAATGCAGAGTAGTGATGGGCGCCTATACGTAAGCATCAAGGCTGCTCTGATGCACTGTAATTACAGATTAATTGAGTCTGGAGTGTGGTAATTGCTGTGCTAAAGCAACCTCCAGTGTCTCATTCAACAAGCTTTAGATAAAGCGCCCCTGCTGCCATTTTTATGCACAGGGACACTGATACATGAGATGCTCAGAGTGCTTTAATTAGACCAGCTCTCGGAGCTACTATAATTGAAGCACCCTCCCCCCACTCCTGGAGCATGTGTATAAATGCCTGATGGGAGCCTGGTAATTTCTGTGGGGTTCTCTTGCTTTCAGTAGCTGTTGAAGAGAGAAGGGAATCTTTTTTTTTTCTTTTCTTTTCTTTTCTTTTCAATACTGTACAAGAAATAGGGGATGCTCAACTGACTTCTTTTTTTCTTCTAGTTACAGTGACGTTGGTGAGCAAGTTCTCTGCAGTGGTTGCTCAATGTTTGAAGTCTAAATTTTAATGATCTGCCAGTTCTTCTTTGCGACTAAGATGTCTCTCTAAATTCTGTGAAGAATCATCTTTTTATAGCTGAATAACTAACACTTCTAGTGGATGGAGTTAACAATGAGGTTGATGTGTATTGTATGTTTATATTGTATTTTTATACTGTAGCTAACTAAATAAACTCTTTTTATATTTTGATGAGACTTTTGAAGTATTGTCTTGGTTATTTTAGCTAAACTACAGTTAACCTCAAAGACCATTTTAGGTTTCCTTGTCCCAGACCAGTGATTCTCAGCCAGGTGCCATGAGATCCTGCCATGCTAATTCCCCAGCTCCTAGAAGGAGGTAAGCATAGTAAGAGAGAAATTAATCGTGTGAATTCAGTGGACTCCAATTTATGTGAGTTATAGAGGGAAGCCTCAAGTCCAAGGAGGCTGAGAACCATTGCTCTAGACTGATACGCTTTTCGAGAGGCAATGATTATTTTCCAGTACTGCAACAGATATGTAGACTACACATTCAGTTCTTCGAATTCTTATAATTTGTTTGCTCATGTCGGAGTACAGGTTTCTATTCTGAACTGTAAACCAATGTATTTGTATAGTGACTTTTTTCCATGGGATTATATTTCTTGTTCTAGATGCACAATCTTGTACCTTTTGAGGTGGCTGGGATTCTAATTATCTTGTAGAATCATAACACAGAAGAATACTTGGCTTAGGTCATTTAATGCAAAGTGCAGAAGGGAAATTAATATATTTGTGAGCGAATGTTTACAAATTATAGATGGCAGTTTGAATCTTTCTGTGGTTTTTTGCAGTGCGCTCCAAAAAAAAAAAAACCAAACCCTGCATGCATGAGATCAGCTTTTAATTATAAGTGCTTCTGGCCTCTGGCCTAAAGTATCAGATGAGAGTTTTGGTACACTTCCCGTAACTAAGCAGCTGTTTGTGAAATTGTTTCTAAATATGAAGCTTGTTATCTGCCTATATCATAAATTGAATATTGTCAGAAGGAAAGGCAACAGTTTTTTTTTCTAAAACGTTAAAAGAACTACCATATGTACTCAAATCCAAGATGAGGTCCCTCCATCACCTCCATTTTAACATTTAACCTGCCTTGTACTGGAATCGAAGGTATCAGGGAGGCAGGCAGCTGCTGTAGCTGCCCATTCTGCCAACTCTAGACCCTGCTAGAGCTGGAGAGCAAGTGGCTGGGGTGAGCAGAGACAGCAAAGAGGGCAGGTAGTGGGTGGGGAGCACATGCCAAGGGATGCAGACATGTAGGTGGGCAGTCAAGGGTCAGGCTACTTGAGTTCCCTACTGCCAGCCACTGCTTTCCCCAGTGCAGCCGAAGGAGGGGGAACAGATTTATGATAACTAGGGACTAACCGAATTTGGGGTGGCTGCCCCCTGATTCCATGGTTCAAGCACAGTGCCAGGTACCATTTTCACAGCAGGACATGCATGTGTGGCCATCTGTCAATCTCTGGGGAGGGGTGGGACTTCTGGGGCCCCATAACCAATCAGAGGCATGGGGGGGACACTACACTCACAGCAAAATTCTGCCCCCTTCTCCCTCCCCCAGGTGTCAGGACACCAGGACTTTCTGTCCTCATCTGTTTTTGCAGTTCTCTCTTTTCTCAATTTGTGTTACATGTAATTACCTACAGTGAAGCTTGGATCTTTCATCTTCAACAAAAGGAAGAAGGGAGAGAGAGACAGTGAGAGAGAAAGAAAATAATTAGGAAAGGCCACAAAAAGAAAATATTGGGCTAT